TTGAGAAAAACATTCAAAAAAATAAAGTATGAACATTTAGATTATTTTGCTGTATTTATAACGTGCATAACAAATTTCCAAACATACCATGCATGTTTTGCACGGAACCAGAGAAAATGCCTCAGGCAACCTGTGGTTTTACCGTGAAATGAAAAAGATTCTGTGTGTGTGTGGATATTGATCCAGCTCTGTGTCTCTCCTCTGGAGATCAGCAATCTCCTGCTCCAGCTGCTCCAGGAGTCCTTCAGCTCGACTCACTTCAGTCCTCTCCTGGTCTCTGATCAGCTGTGTCACCTCATGCTGTCTTTTCTTAAAGAGGATGAGCTCAGTGAAGATCTTCTCATTGTGCTCCACTGTTGTCTGAGCAGAGTGCTGTGAGTGCAGTTAAAACTGGATCAGCCAAACTTAGATTTTGGTCTGCTCCTACTAAGCTATCATATGACTTTAGAACTGCTTTCATAATGATCTTGTGTCATCATTCATTTTAATTGCATGGAAAAGAGCAACCAGCAAATTATATAAAATATCTTCCTTTAGAGTTTAGAATGACACAAGGTAAAGTGTAAAGGGTGAATTTTCATTTCTGACGCCTTTAATTCTCCAACAAACACATATGACTAGACAAAATACATAATGTTCAGAAGTTTCGGGTCAGTACGTCTGTGGAAAATTTATATAATTTAAAATGACTATTTCCTATTTTAATATGTTTAAAAGTGTAATCTAATCCTGTTTTGGCAAAGCTGAATTTTCAGCAGCCATTAGGCTACTGTATCACATCAGTGTTCATCAGTCACCAGTGTCACATGATCCTTCAGAAGTCAACCATGGTGCTCAAGAAACATTTCTTATTATTATCAACGTTGAAAACAGTAGTGCTGTTTAATATTTTTGTGAAAACGTGATAGCCTATATTTTTTCAGGATTTTTTTTATTTGAAAAGAATGCAAAAAATATTTTGTAGCGTTATAAATGTACAGCCACTTGTTTAATTGAATGCATCTTTGTTGAATAAAAATATTAATTTCTTTAAAAACATCTTACTGACCCCAAACTTTTGAACTATAGTGCACTTAAATGAGTTTTCTTAAATGAAAAGAAAATGATCATATCACCTTCAGCGTTCTCACAACCACAGCTCCTCTATCATTTTCTGCTTCTCCTGGATTTTCTGCGTGGTTGTTCTCTGCATCTTCTCAACCTGGTCCTGTGGGGAAAAAATATTCCTTTATGATTCCAGGGTACAGAGTGAACATTACAGATAGGCCTACTAGTAGTACGTTCTCTGTGTGATGTCTTAAAGGGGGCATAACACACAATTTCACCCAATCTCATATTAATCTTGAGTACCTATAGAGTAGTACTGCATCCTTCATATCTCCAAAAAGTCTTTAGTTTTATCATATTTATAAAAGAAAGATACAGCTTTAGGATTCTCTCCGGAAAAGCCGAGCTCCTGGAAGCGCGCTGTGGGCGGAGCTAAAGAGTGATGAGCACTTGGGCGCCGAATGCCAACAAAACAGACATTTGATGCGTTTCACTTACCGTCTGCAGTTCTGAATCATGAAGGGGATCTTTTATAGCTGGGACCGCTCCATCTTTCAGTATCAAACGATGTGCAAATCCAGCGTCGAACTGGGCCTTGTTTATAAAACATTCCTCAACAAACACACTTGTGAAACTTCGTTGCTGCCCCAGAAAAACAAACTGTATCCACTGTTTACATAACGCTGGGTTCTTTGGGAAGCTGAACAAAGTTATCTTTCCCTTACAACCAAAAACACACTTCTTTGGATTGGAGACATTCTTCCCGAGCAAGTCCCGTGCAGCGCTGCCGCCGGATGAAGCACGTTGATGGGCGCGATCTCGATCTCACTCTGGTCGATGCATGCGCGGGCGCATTCTTCCGGGAGAAATGCAAGAAGGGTCTGGCTGCAGCCTTGCACTTGCACTCTCAGACTTGCTTTCTCAGACACTTGTGCTTCCGCTAGCGACGTCACTTGCAGGCTTTATTTTTTATTTTGTTCTATTTTTTATTACTTTTTGTTTGAATCTCTCAACATTTTACAACAGTAGCCAGGTGGTGAAGACAAGAAAAAATAAACTAAATTACAATGTCACTTGCAATCGCCACTTGCACTCTCCGATACCTGCAACTTCACTTGCAATTGACACAAATCTTTTGTAACCTTTAGGTTTGAGACGTGTCATGGGATTTGGCTACAGTTGTCGTATTCCTCTTGTTAAGCCACTCCTGAACCACAGACAACGTCAGAGGCGTCTTACCTGGGCTAAGGAGAAGAAGAACTGGACGGTTGCCCAGTGGTCCAAAGTCCTCTTTTCAGATGAGAACAAGTTTTGTATTTCATTTGGAAACCAAGGTCCTAGAGTCTGGAGGAAGGGTGGAGAAGCTCATAGCCCAAGTTGCTTGAAGTCCAGTGTTAAGTTTCCACAGTCTGTGATGATTTGGGGTGCAATGTCATCTGCTGGTGTTGGTCCATTGTGTTTTTTGTAAACCAACGTCACTGCACCCGGTTACCAAGACATTTTGCTTCCTTCTGCTGACCAGCTTTTTGAAGATGCTGATTTCATTTTCCAGCAGGATTTGTCACCTGTCCACACTGCCATAAGCACCAAGAGCCAAAATCATCACAATTAAAAGAACCAAAAACTTAAACTACTTCAGTCTGTGTGCATTGAATTTAATTAATACACGAGTTTCACAATTTGAGTTGAATTACTGAAATAAATGAACTTTTCCATGACATTCTAATTTACTGAGATGCACCTGTATATATTTTTTAAAAAGTATAATATGTTGTTTCATCTCATAAATAATCATAACAACATTTATAATACATTATAAAACGTACTTCTTTGTGGTTATAACTTTTATGAGTATGCTTATTTATAACACGCAATGAACACCATTTTAAATCCCATTTTGATTTTAGTATTCATCGTATATTTAAAAAACCTTGTTTGTTACTTGTTACTGATTCATTTAAAAAAAGTTTCATTGTGTAAATTAATGTTGGAGAAATTATACATACAAGCATTTTTAAAATATGGTGACATATTGATAGATGTTGTTAAATAAGTTTACCTTAAGTATAACCGGCTGAGATATTGTATGATATATACTGTATGTTTACATGCAATGCTGTGTGCAATTTAGGTGTACGCACAATCTCTTTGCTCTTTCTCCAGGATAAAGTGGCATGTTCTGATGTAGTCTATGTTAAAACCACATCTACACCAGCTGCAGCTCATGCACAGAATGACCCAGTATAGCTCCCTGAGCATGTCAACACCCATGCTGAAACTTCTTGAAAACAGGATGTGTTCATTTTAAACCTCAGAATTCATATTCACAGTGTTTAGACTAGCAATGGAGCTTATTATCTTTGCATTTTGAGAATATACATGTACAAAAAGCTGCCTGATTCAAAGTGGTAACCACTGAAGCATGAAAAAGAATTCTTGTCTATAAGTAACTGTATGCAGAATATATTGAATCTGTAATTGAGCATTTTTGAGTGACTTATTTAAACAGCCATGTGTTTTATGTAACATGTTTGAAGCAAAAGCATTCTGCTAAAAGTCTTATACAGTAATGTTCTGTTTTCTGGCAAACTAAAAAAAAAGTCATAATCAATGTCATGTAAATAAAATAAAATACAAACCCTGCTGTTAAATGAACTATTGGGTGAGGGTTGAAATGAGTGTCAACAAGAATAGAGGAACAAGGAAGATGTTTTTCTGTCTCTGTCACTATTGTGTGTTTGTTTTCATCAAACCATTAAGTTGGTTTTGTTGTACATACAGTACTTCAGCTAAATAAAATCAAATTGTTTTGACTAGTGGATACAAATGAAAACTTTAAATCATGATAATGGTTACATTATCAAATTTATGAATCTTCTCCTATGCCTACGTCTTTTTGTTCATAAAAATTTTCAAAATGTGCATGGATTCTATATTTACTCATAACTTAAATATTAAAGTATAATCAATATAGTAAGATTTTCCCATGTGTAATATAAAGGGAATACAATGAGTGTGTAAGAATTACTTAAGATTAGTTTGTTTAATGGGAATGAGTAACAGCCAGACAGAATTAATTAGCTATTATAAAAGGAGTTATATAGGGGTGGTACAACTTCATTGTGAGGACATGTGCGTGACTGATATAAATAGATTGATCAGTTCTAAGGAAGCATCTGTGTGTATTTCTGTGTGTGAGGGTGCTGTGGTTTCAGGTGAAAATGACACTGCGCTAATGAAGAATATGTAAAGATGAGAGATGTGGATTCACAAGAGCTACTGAATGTGCTCCTGTTTTCTTGTGTTTAGCTTCTTTCATGACTTTTTACACAATAAATATAACTAAATACAATAAGTAAAGTTTAACTAGCTAAAGTGTAATTAAAGTTGATTAATTTCCGTCGTATCTCCAGCTGTCTTCTACCATTAAAATGTTAAATAATAATAATAAACAAAAATAAACTAACAAAAACTATATTTGTGACTATCATTTGGCAGCAGAAAGGGTTTTGTGGCCTCTGACTATCAATCATAGCCAGCACTCAGATGCAGCACGGATTTATTTGACACAACATCTCGAGGCCGACAATGTCAAAGCATGCATGTGCACAACTTTACCGCATTTGTGGGTTTAAAGTGGGGTGATGATGATTAGTGTTAAAACAGAAAAGGGAAGGACAGGGAAAAAATGAGGCAGTGTGCATTCTTACAATAATACTTTTTTAAAATACAGGTTTTAAATGTTAACTTGATTCAGCTCACATGATTTATTTTTGTTCAGTGTTTGCGGAGTTGATTTTTTAATTATTATCAAAAAACACTCTGAACTACATCATAATCCATTTAGTTCTGTTTCTTGAATATTGTGTCATTTGAACTTAAGCAACAGAAATTATGACTAAGTGCTGCTGCAGTTCCTGTGTATCATCTTAATGTGTCTAAATCATTCTTTGATGTTTTTGATTCACTCATTTGTTGCTTTATTCAAACAATATCTGACGCCACCACACCAAGACAGTCCTGCAGTTGAATATATGAAACAGGCTTTAAACAAGAAACACAGTGGAAGAGCAGAGTCAGTGAGTGAACTATACAAATATTGCTTAAACAGAAAAAATACAGAGACATACCATGCAAAGAAATCAAACAGGAAGTTTCTGAAAAGTAAGCGCTAACAGGAACCAAAGTATTAAGACTATTTTAATTGTGTCCACTGCCACAATAAAATAGAGTTGTGTCATTAGTGAATTATCCATTTATAATGGACATTATCCATTAATTTTACGTACAAGTCTAAAACACAACGCAATGCAGTGCAAAATACAGGTAAACACCTGTAAAAAAATTAAAACTGAAAGTTCCTTCATACAGTGGATTGTGTCCTATTTTTACGCATTTTTAGAGTGCATATCATAAAGCAAACACCCCAAACAAGGTCTTTGTGATATCGTTTTCGACGTTGGGCAGGAGTTCTGTGGTGGTTTTGGTGTGCAGTTTGTCTCCAGCTTGCAGGTTGAAGGCCGCACCGAGGTAAATGGTGTTGTATAACATATCTTCAGGGTTAGACGCATGCACACTGACGGAGCGGATTGCGCTTAAAAGCGGCTTGTAGCTGCCGAAGGACTCAGAGTAGTGGAACACTGCGTGGCTCATATGCACAACTTTGTGGTCCTCAGGTATGTCATTCTTGCAGCTGATGTGGAAAGACACCTGGCTGTAGACGAAGTAAATGCCGTCGTTAGGAATGATGATCTCTCTGTCCACTAATTTCAACCCACCTGAAACAAATCCAAATTTCCAATCTAGGTTGTCCTTAGACACGTCAGGGTCATATGCACCTAGAAGAGAATACAACCAAAACATGGCCTAAGTCGGTGCTTCTCAATAGGTTTTTGCTACAGGATTTTAGTGACAACCTTAATAAACTGTGCCATAATGGCTTATTTTATGGTCTTGGTGAGCACAATTCATAAACATGCCAGTAGATCATATTTTTTATTTATTTTTACATTTGACGTTGCCTAATTTAACATTAATTCATATATTATGAACAAACATGAATTAATAATGAACAATAGAACCCTATAGGCTGTGTAAACAGTAACACTAACCTAGATTAATGAATGCTGTAAAAAATAGTTGTCCATTCAATTACGGACACTACATTGATACTTAATAAATTAATGTCAACAAAATAATCACAAATGTTCTTAAAATTAATTTTAATGTCTACATTTCAATATTTAATTGTTTTGGCAGGTGCCATACAAAACATCAAATGTTTATCCTCAATATAAGTGAAAGTGTATCCACTGTAATCAGGGTCATATTTTCTCTTAATTTGTATAGTTTGTATAATTTTCAAGGATGAGAGCGTAATGCAACCAACCATATTGGTGTCTATAACTGATTCATTTTTAATTGACAGATGAATTTGTGTCAAATTATAGTAGAGTTTGACTACTATACAGTACCTTTGGCCTTTGACTAACAAAAACAGACCAATTTTAAAACTGTACTTCTTTTAAAAGTACTTCTATAGGAGTGAAATCTGACACATATCTGTTTATCCTACATTTTTGGATACATAACCAATTAATTTAAGGTTTATAGTCCAGTAATTTTTTTGACTTTATATAATCACCCCTAAAAGTATTTGGACTCTTGCAATATATTTAAGATGTATAATGCAGTGTAGGGAAATTAACTCTTAGGTTTTGAGAGGGGAATCGAATCTGAAGATTCAAAATCAACCTGATTGAACTGATTCCAAATTTGATAGTTACACTTTATCAACTGTTCGTCCAGCGAGATGTTAACATCAGTATATCTTAAAGGGGTCATAGGATGCTACATGCACTTTTACAAGTTGTTTGAACTGAAATGTATGTTGACAGTGTATGTACACAACCACACTATAATGACAAAAATCCATCCAGTGTTTTTTTTAATCTGGTTAAATGTTTTCCCTGTTCTCAAATCGAGCCGATCTCAGATGTAGGACACAACCGCATGTTGTCACAGTGTATGTACACAACCACACTATAATGACAAAAATCCATCCAGTGTTTTTTTTTTATCTGGTTAAATGTTTTCCCTGTTCTCAAATCGAGCCGATCTCAGATGTAGGACACAACCGCATGTTGTCAGATCGGATTAGCACATGGCGCCCTTTCAGGACTGGCAGGAAGAACTGACAGGCTCGACATACTGCTAGACGTGAGGTGCACCAATCCTCATGTGTAACACATACCGGCAGATTAAGCACGCATGATGTGTGTAGAGGATTGCTTAAGTCTGATCATTCAACCCGCGAGCTCGTCGTTGCTTCATCCGAGGTAGCTGGGTGGAGAGTAACATGAGTGCAGGGAGGCGGGGCCGCCTTCCGCGAATGAACGGGGGCAGACTGCTTTTGTGGTAAAAGCGGCCCGTCTGTGAGCGCAGCCCTAGTGACACACATACAAATTTGAAGCTGTCAGTAGCAGCATCTGCTCCAATCTACTTTGTAGGATAAAGCTGCTCGCTGAGAGAGGAGAAACGGGAGAGCAGGGCTGTCTCCAGCGGAGGCGGACCGCGAGTGGAGAAGAGCGAGACTCATGCTTGAGTGAGCATTTTGTCTCAGTAAGCGCGTAGTTCACTGTTATTAGCTTATAGCCCGTTAGCATCGCCAGCGTGGTTGCCGCTAATCTCGCTTACATTGCTAATACTCTATTCACACACATTACCATTGTTTTACTCACTGTTACTTGCTTTAATGGCAGATGTGTGTCTACCTTTGAGTGCAGGTGAGGACACCGAATGCAGCTCGAGCTGGAGGCCGTAGAGAAGCAGATCCGCGACCTGGTGGACAGGCAGGCCCAGCTGATAGAGCGGAGAGCCGCGCTGGAAACATCCCGGGCTGACGCTCACAAGTCCGGGGTAAGTATACAGCGCTGTTAACTCTCCCACCACCTCTACTCCATGTGTAGATCTCCACCCAGAACCGCTTCGCTCCCCTCCGCGAGACGGAACGCGACGATGTGATCGTCGGAGACTCCATCGTCCGGCACGTCCGTGCTACGATAGCTGAAGGTAAAGTGCACACCCACTGTTTCCCTGGTGCTCGTGTTAGGGTTAGGGTTTCTGCGCAGATACCCGCGATCCTGAAGGGCGACGAGAGCCCTGGAGCGGTCGTGCCGGGGTTAACGATACCAAGCTGCGGCATACAGAGACACTGAAGATGGACTTCAGGAGCCTGATCGAGACGGTGCGCAGCACATCCCACGTATCGACGAGGACACGAAAGGTTCAGTAGACTTTTTGCTTTAAATGAATGGTTATTGTCATGGTGTAAAGAACAGAAACTGCTCTTTGTT